ATATATATATATTTAAATTATATATAATATATATATATAATATATATATATAATATATATACAGATTTCATCTCATCAGACAATCTCTTGGAACAATTAAAGCAACAGGTACGAGGACACTCACACATATTCCCAAAGCAGCCCGTCCACACGCAGCTGGAAAACTTACAGACCTCCTGAAAAAAGTAAACGATGGTTCCACTATCTTAAATGCTCCACCAACCATCAAGGCATGGCACAACTTGCTACTTTTTGGCAATGTCTGCTTAGCTGTGCCGGAAAGAAGGGGGAAAGAGGCTAGCCTCAATGATAATTAAATCCTTAAGAGATTTTCCTAGAGTTGATAACCTCATTCACCTTCCCCGTCAACACAAAAAAGGGAGAGGCAGAACCCCCACTCACTCTACTGACAGTGAAAAAGTCAGAGTCCAGGTGAGCAAGAAAATTGAAGAGGGCAACACAGTGGGGGCAATCAGAATTATTACCAGTGAAGATACAGTTGCTCCCAGGGATGCTGACACGGCTGAAGCACTTAGAGGAAAGCACCCTGCCAGGGAAACCAGTGGCACCAACAGTTCCAACACCTCTGTCCCCACTATGGAAGCATTGATTGTGGAAGACTCAGACATTTACAAAGCAATAATGTCGTTCCCATCTGGCTCTGCTGGGGTTACACTGGAATAAGGCCACAACATTTAAAGGAAATGGTTAATCCAGTTATTGGGGAAATTGCAGAGACACTGCTTTCAGAGATCACAAGGTTCGTCAACAATTCCTTGGCTGGTCTGATTCCTGACGAAATTAGACCTTTCTTTTTTGGTGCAACACTTTGGCACTAAAAAGAAGGATGGAGGAATTCGGCCAATTGCAGTAGGCAACACGTTACGCCGCCTCGTATCCAAAGTTGCTGTCCGAAGTATTCGTGCACAGGCAGCCATGATGCTTCAACCAAACCAGCTTGGCTTTGGGGTCTCTCAAGGAAGTGAAGCAGCGGTTCATGCAACAAGGGCGTATATCAACAACCTGCCTGAGGACAATGCAGTGGTAAAATTAGATTTCAAGAATGCGTTCAATCTCCTGAAAAGAGACGTGGTATTAGCAGCAGTACAAGAACATTTCCCTGGTCTCTTCCCTCTTGTTTCAGCTGGGTATAGCAAGGAATAAATGCTTCTCTTTGGAGAACATGAAATCACATCATCGGAGGGTGTCCAACAAGGAGATCCTCTTGCACCATTTCTCTTCTGTATAGCAGTTAGGGAAATCACAGTCAGACTGACCAGCGAGCTAAACATCTGGTTCCTAGATGATGGCACACTAGCAGGTACATAGGAGTCCCTCATACATGACCTTACACAGGTAATGACACGGGGACAGGAAATGGGTCTCGTCCTGAATCCATCCAAATGTGAAATCATCTCAGTCAGTCAACAAGTGATAAATGCAGTGAGATCAAAACTACCAGGAGCAGCAGTCATTGCCCCCAAAAATAGTGTCTTGCTAGGAGCACCTCTGGGAAGCAATGCCATTGACACAATTCTCAGAAATAAATTGGAAGAGTTAAGGAGAATGAAACAACGAATAGGCAATCTGGACACCCACGATGCCTTGTACCTTCTCACAAAGTGCTTGAGTCTGCCCAGGTTGACATATTTCCTAAGATGTGCACCTTCATATGATAACCCTATACTGCACGAATATGACAGTATTCTGAGGCAGATTTTTACGAAAGTACTTAACCTTACTCTAGAAGATGGGCAGTGGAACCAAGCTACACTTCCAGTCAGACTAGGAGGCATTGGTGTCCGCAAGTCATCACAGATTGCGTTACCTGCTTTTCTGTCCTCGTGTATTGCATCCAGAGAGCTTGTAGCAGCGATTCCCCCCTGAACATCTTAGGACAAGATTGGAGTCCAGGACCAAAAATTCATTGACGGAGCAATGATCTGGGATAATCTAACGGGCTCAGAAACCAGACCTGCTCCCCCCAACAACTACAAACAATCGCACTGGGATGGTCCAATAGTGGAAAATATAGCCTCAACAATGCTTCAGAGTGTGTCAGGGAAGGATAGAGCCCGCCTCCTGACAGTGAGAGCCCCTCATGCTGGGGACTTTCTGTTGGCTGTTCCCAACTCCAGCCTTTGCACACGCCTCGACCCACAGACCATCCGCATCAGTGTTGCCCTTCGACTTGCCGCCCCTATTCTCGCCGAACACAGGTGTATTTGTGGCAGTGAAGCAGCAGACCGATTCGGGTACCATGGTCTTGTGTGCCGTAAATCCGAGGGAAAGATTACAAGACATGAGGATGCTGGATGCCCAGTAGTAAGGGAGCCACCCCAACTATGCAGATCTGATAGCAGCCAGAAGCGTCCAGATGGTATCACCCTTCAAGCCTGGACAGATGGGAAGCAGGTGGTGTGGGACTATACATGCGCATCTACCTTGGCTGATACCTATCTGCAATACACCAGGGAGGAAGGAGGGGCAGCTGCCAGCTTCAGGGAGTCCCAAAAGTCTAGAAAATATGGAGAACTTGCCCATCATTATATGTTTGTTCCCATAGGCTCAGAGACCCTTGGCTCATGGGGAAATAGTGCATCTAAATTCCTTAAGGAGCTGGGAAAAAGACTCATCAGGGTAACTAGGGATCCCAGGGCAGCTAGTTTTCTGTTCCAGCGGCTCACTGCGGCTGTTCAAAGGGGTAATGCCTGCTGTATTTCGGGCACACGCCCCAGCTCTGAGGAGCTGGATGAGATTTTCGCCTTATAATCGGTGATACACAAGTAACAACATGTACCTTATATGCCACCTTTATATCAACAATGTATCTCTAAAATCTTCTGTACCATATTATGTAATAAAATATTCCTATTGGTAAAAAAATATATACTAATAGATGGGGTGGTAGGGGAAGTGGAATATTCTAACGACTTCAGGAAGAAATCCAAATATTCTTCCTTGAAACCTTTTTATCCACTTCTCCGAGGCTATGGGTCCCACAATTTACACCAGAGGTGGACCCCATCCTATATATATATGTAATATATATATATATATATATATATATATATATATAATATAATATATATATATATATATATATATGTCGTGCCGAATAGGCAGAACTTGCGATCGTGGCTTAAATAGCAACGTTCATCTTGCCATATAGGACAAGTGAAAATTTTTGTATGCAATAATTTCTCCAAAATCATTCTGAACCTAACGAAAAAAATATATTTCACTGTGTTTGTTTAGTATTAAATTATTGTAAACAAATCTAAAATACATTTAGTTGGGTTAGGCTAAAATAAGTTGTTCTTGTTATAATAAGGTTAGGTAAGTTTTCTAAGATACTTTTGGTGCAAATTTAAAAATTTTTACATAAACATTAATGAAAAAATATATCTCTAAACGTATAAGAGAAAATTTCAGAAAGGACTTAATTTTAAATGAGTTCTTGCTAATTGACCAGTTTTACATACATATATATATATATATATATATATATATATATATATATATATATATATAATATATATATATATATATATATATATATTTTGTATATATATATATATATATATATATATATATATATATATATATATAATATATATATAATATATGGAAAATAGTGATTCATTGTGTTTTTTATTCATCTCTATCACATCAGGTTGTCAAGTTATACGGAAACGTTACTTTTCTCTTTTCGTATAACAAAAGTAAATGAGAAAGTGGTATATTACCAATTAAAATGCTTACCTTATATTGACTTAAATGTTAAATCTACAATGGCAACACAGCTGCATCTGTGCCAATTGCCATAGTGTCCAAATGTCAGATACGAAGACAATACTATCTGCAATCAAGTATCAGAATCACAATTATCTCATTTGTGGTGATTTAAAAGTTACTGCTCTCCTACTATGTCTTCAAGGCAGATACGCCAAGTATCCTTGTTTTCTGTCTTTGAGATAGTAGGGCAGACAGCCAGCACTATGAACAAAAAGACTGGTCACCAAGAACCAGCTTCTTACCTGGAAATCACAACGTGAAAACTGTGCCACTAGTTGACCCCAAGAAAAATCTGCTACCACCACTCCACATCACATTAGGGCTTATTAAAATTTTGTGAAAGCCTTGAACAAGAATGGAACTGCTTTCATGTACCTGGGGTCAAAGTTTCCTCGTATAAGTGAATGAAAGATGAAGGCAGAAATCTATGTGGGCCCTCAGATTCCGGAACTGATAAAGGACAAGCATTTTGATGAAGCATTAGCAGATGTCGAGGTGAATGCCTGGTTTTCATTCAAGCAGATTGTCCACAACTTCCTGGGAAACAGGCGCTCCTCTTAATATGGAAAAATGGTCCATGACCTGATTTCAAGTTTCCAACAACTTGAGTCTAGAATGAGTGTGAAGATGCACTTTTTGCACTCACATCTTGACTATTTTCCGAACAATTGTGAGGACTACAGTGAGGAACAAGGAGAGGGGTTTCATCAGGATATTCATATGTTCTTAAAACTAACAGAATGTGCTTTTCCATGATTACTTGTCTACTTTTAATAAATTAATGATTAATTAAAAATTCACATTTTTTATTATTATTAATTTGTATTTTAATCAAAATCCTTACGTGATAGAGCAAAATAGTTTAAATATTTACAATCAGCAGCCCAAGAATATGTAAGATCGTAACCATGAATAAAAGTAAAATTAAAATACATTCGAAATGCACACCAGTGTTATTCAAATTCCCTGTCTATAGCTTAACTTATCTTTGAGAGAGTTATTCTAAGTTCGAGTGCTTCACGTCATTCGTGTAATGCATATATTACTGTTAAACATTCTGAGAAGGTTGAATAAATCTTGGAATGTTTTTGTTAATATCAATAACATCCAGGCTGAAATTCGATATAATGATTCAGAAAAAATCTATTTACTAAAGTTGAGAAAATATTAAAGAACATAAATTGTCACCAGAGATGTGTTACCTGAGGAAGTGCAGCAGGCGGCGCAGGTGGTACAAAGGGTTGTGTACTAGGTCCTCATAATGAATGACGTAGAGCGGACCAGTACACCACAAGAGTCGGTCTGCTGCCAGCTCCTCCCACAGTGAAGTGGCTTCACCCACGAACTCATGAAAGTCTTTTGAGAAAAAAATTCCAAGGTTGGGTTACATATCCTATTTTTAAAATATGTTAAATTAACTTAGTGTATGAAAAAAGTTACAATAATTCTTTATCAGACAAGAAAATATTTGGAACAATTGAAGAATAAAGAATACGAACCTGGACTCAGGAACCTTGACAATGGTATTTCATCCAGATGCTTGTTGCTTCCCTCAAGGTTCAGCAGTTTCCAATAAGAGATGATGGTTCTAAAGGTCGGGAAATATTAATAATGTTATATGATCATGTAATTGTAGATGCCAATATTCCATTAATACAGACTTTTTTTAATTACTTTAAGTGTAAACGAGGGCGTTTATCGTATAGCGAAGAGTAAGTGCGACACTAAGTGATTAAGAAAAGGTGAGTTGGTCTGGAACTGAGAAAACATTTCTGTTCGCATAATAAGAGAATATAAGAGCCAAGATTGAGAATTCATAAATCCTTCTGCAGAATGTTACTAGTTTCCGAAGTTGAAAATAGGTACTAGAATCAGGGGCGGATACACTACGAAACTATCGAATTTAGGTTCAGGTCCCCTAATCCCTCCGGGATTAAGACTCACCTGGCTGGATCACGAAGGAGGAGAATGGTGGGCAGGCTGGAGTTTACCTCCTCATAGCGGTCCTGCAGATCGTGGATATAGGTGGGGTAGAAGGAGGCACCGTGGGTCCTCTGCAATATTGTCCTTCCGCTCTCCATTACCTTCTCCCCAAGGAAACCTGAAGACACAATGTTAAGCTACTCTGCTCAGCTTTGCAACGTTGAAGTCTGAGAATAACATTTATGGAATCAATAATTGCCGGGGCTATTCGTAGCCATCTTGAAAGGCATAAATTGATTAATGAATCTCAACACGGTTTTACAAAGGGGCGTTCCTGCCTTTCGAAGTTACTAACTTTTTTCACCAAGGTATTTGAGGAGTTAGATCATGGTAATGAATATGATACTGTGTATATAGACTTCAGTAAGGCTTTTGAAAGCGTTCTACATCGGAGGCTATTGAGGAAAATTAAGGCACACGGAATAGGAGGAGAATTTTTTTCCTGGGCAGAGGCGTGGTTGACAGATAGGCAGCAGAGTGTTTGCATCAATGGGGAGAAATCAGAGTGGGGGCGCGTCACGAGTGGTGTTCCACAGGAGTCAGTGTTGGGCCCTTCGTTTATCACAATTCATATAAACGACATTGGTGAGGGAATACATAGCGACATAAGCAAGTTTAAAAAAAAAAATCATACCACGGACGGGTTAGAACCCGCGGTCACAAAACTTCAGACCGTCGCGTTAGCCACTGGGCTAGCTGGCCCGGTTGCTAAAGCGACGGGTCTGAAGTTTTGAGACTCTCTGATCGCGGGTTCTATCCCCGTCCGTGGTATGGTTTGCTTGCAATCGTGCCATTATGATTTCGTGAGTCAAGTTAAGCAAGTTTGCTGATGACACCAAAACAGGTCACCTAATTCATTCTAATGAGGACACTAGAGCACTCTAGGAAGATTTGAATAGACTGATACAAAGACTGAAGTAAAGTTCTAAACACTGGACAAGAAAATAACCATGGCACATATAAACTAAATAATGTAGATCTTAATGTTACTGACTGCGAGAAGGATTTGGAAGTTCTGGATAGCAGTAATCTAAAACCAAGACATATCACTACAAATTGGCATAGTGCTTGATAAGTGGAAAATGGCAAATGTAATACCTATTTACAAGGCAGGTGACAGGTTCTTGGATAAATAACAGAAAGGCACAATACCGTGACTGGAACGATACACAAATAACCCGCACATAAAAGAGAGAAGCTTACGACGACGTTTCGGTCCGACTTGGACCATTGACAAAGTCGAACTATAGACCAATAAGCCTTACCCCCATAGAGGGAAAATTTATGTAATCAATAATTGCCGAAGCAATTCATAGCCATCTTGACAGGCACAGATTGATTAATGAATCTCAACACGGTTTTACAAAGGGGCGTTCCTGTCTTATGAATTTACTAATTTTTTTCACTAAGGTGTTTGAGGAGGTAGATCATGGTAATGAATATGATATTGTGTATATGGACTTCAGTAAGGCTTTCGATAGAGTTCCACACCAGAAGCTATTGAGGAAACTTAATGCGCACGGAATAGGAGGAGAAAATTTTTCCTGGGTAGAGGCATGGCTGACAAATAGACAGCAGAGAGTTTGCATAAATGGGGTGAAATCCGAATGGGTGCACGTCACAAGCGGTGTTCCTCAGGGGTCAGTGTTAGGCCCGTTGTTACTCACAATTTACATAAACGACATAGATGATGGAATAAATAGGGACATAAGCAAATTTGCTGATGACACCAAAATAGGCCGTCCAATTCATTCTAATGATAACACTAGAACACTCCAGGATGATTTGAATAGACTGATGCAATGGTAGGAGAAGTGGCAGATGCAATTTAATATTGACAAATGCAAAGTTCTAAATGTTGGACAATTAAATAACCATGCCGCATATGAACTAAATAATGTAGATCATAATACTATTGATTGCAAAAAGGATTTAGGAGTTCTGGTTAGCAGTAATCTAAAACCAAGACAACAGTGCATTAGTGTTCGCAATAGAGCTAACAGAATTCTTGGATTCATATCTAGAAGTATAAATAATAGAAGTCCTCAGACCCGCGTCCATTCATCACAACCCCATCCGTCCATTATAAACCCCAACCACAACGCAACCCAAACTCCATGTAATTCCGTTCATCACAACTGACTCCATTCGCATCCTCACAGCGCACCCCATCCATCATCAACAACTCCCCACCATCACTAACCAATCCAACATCATAGCCCCACTAACATTCACAACCCCATGCAACTTCATACAACCTCCACCATCCATCATCACAACCCTATTCAATCATCACCCATAAGACTACACACAACAACACATTCTCAACACCACCACACCCATCTTCACAACCCCACCGATCCATCATCACAACCGCATTCATATCACACACATACGTCCATTCATAATCACAACCCATCCATCATTCACACCCCCATTTCATCATCACAAGCACAAAAAAACCCCCATGCCACATCACAACCCCATCAAAAAAAAAAAACCATCACATAACAACAAAACCGCCATTTTCCATCATCCACTATCACCATCCATCATCACAATACTATATCCAACCATCACAACCCCATTCATCACCACAACCCCATCCATAAACAACAACCCACCCAAACCTATCATCAATGACCTATCCATCATCAAACCCATCCTTCATGCACAAAGCCAATAATAATCATCATCACACCCCCACCCAACACGCACCCCGACTCATCATCACAACGTCCCATCCATTATATCACAACTCAATCCTGCATTAGGACAAACAAAACGCCCCCATTCATCATCACAAACACCATCACATCACACCCACACCCATCATCACAACCCATTCATCATCACACCCCATCCAACTTCACATCCCTATTCATCATCACAACCATATCCATCATCACAAACCCATCCATCATCACAACCCCATCAATCATCACAACCCCACCCATCATCACAACCCCATCCATCATCACAATCCCACCCATCATCACAACCCCATCCATCATTACAACCCCATTCATCATCACAACCCCATCAATCATCACAACCCCATCCATCATCAAGCCCCATTGATCATCACAACTCAATCCATCATCTCAATCCCACCCATCATCACAACCCCACCCATCATCACAACCCATCCATCATCGACAACCCCAATCATCAATCACAACCCCATTCCTCATCACAACCCAATCCATCATCACAACTCTCTCCCCCATCACAACGACATTCATCATCACAACCCATACATCATCACAAACCCTATCCAGTCATCGCAACCCTATCCATCATCACAACTACCCCATCCATCATCACAAACCCCCCATCCATTTATGAAAAACCAACAACCATCTTACAACCCTATCCATCATCTCACCCATATCCATCATTCACAATCCCATCCATCATTACAACCCCTTCCATCATCACAAACCGCATCCATCATCACAACCCCAACCATCATTACAACCCCATTCATTATCACAACCCCATCCACTCCATATCCCCACCGATCCATCACGACTCATCCATCATAACAACCCCATCCAATCATATCACAACTCCAACCATCTCACCAACCCCGATCCATCATCACACACTCCATCCATGCATTACATACCCCATCCATCAACACAGAACCCCATCCATCACACAAACCCATCCCATCATCACAACCCCATAACATCATCACAACCTCCATCCTATCATTACAACCCCATCCACAAGTAGATCTCAGTACGGGGGGTGTTTATGTGGGGGGGTCCCAACATTACTACCCCACCATCATCACAACCCAATTCATCATCCCAACCCATCATAATCACAACCACATCCATCATCACAACTCCGATCCATCATCAACAAACCTTATTCATCATCCACACCCCACCCTTCATCAAACCCACCCAGCATCACAACACCATCCTATCACAAACTTCTATCCACATCACAACCCCCATTCATCACCACAAACCCCATCCATCATACAAACCACCCACACATCATCACAACCCCACCATCATCACAACATCAATCATCATCACAATAACCCATCCATCATCACAACACCAATCCATCATCACAACTCCATCCATCATCACAACCCCATCCAGCGATCAGGTACAACAACCCCTCCTCTTCATAAAACCATTCCATCATCACAACCCTTCTCACATAACCAACCCTTCCATCATCACAACCCATTCCATCATCACATCCCCTCCAGCATTACAACCCCATCCATCATCACAACCCGCATCCATCACCACAACCCCATCCATCACCACAAACCCCCATCAATATTCACAACCCCATCCATCATCACAACCCCATCCATCACAACCCCATCAAATCATCACAACACCATTCATCATCACAACCCCTCCATCATTCACAACCCCATCCATCATCGCAACCCCATCCATCATTACAACCATCCATTAATCACAACCCAAACCAACATTACTAACACCCCCATCCATCATCACAAACCCATCCATCATCACAACCCCATTCCATCCTCCACAACCCATCCATCATCACAACCCAATCCATACATCACAACTCCATCCATCATCACAACCCATCCAGCATTACACCAACCCCACACATCTTCATAAAAACCAACCCATCATCACAGACCCCATCCACATCAACAACCCCATCAATCATCACTACCTTATCCGTGAATTACATCCCCTTTCATCATCACAACCGCATCCATCTTCACAACCCTATTCATCCATCACATCGCCATCCAAATTAAAACCTCATACATCATCCCAACACCCATCCATCACAACCCCCCACGCTTATCACAACCCCGTCCATACATAACCCAACACCCATCATCACAACCCATCCATCATCACAAACTCCATCCATCATCACAAACCCCATCATCAACACAGACCCCCCGTCCATCATAACCCAATTATCATCACAACACCAAGTCACATCATCCACAACACCATCCATCAACACAACCACATTCATCATCACAACCCCATCCATCATTACAAAACCCCTTCCATTATCCACCACCCAATCCAACATTACAACCCCATCCATCATCACAGACCCCATCCCATCATCACACCCCACCAT